GTAAGTGTGTTAATTATCTATCCTGTGACATAGAGTTCTTCTGAACAGTAATAATTTCAAATTTCTTCTAGCTGTAAACGAAAGCCATAACTCAGATAGGTCCTATTTGTCTTTAGTTTGGAAAACAAACAAAAAGCTTAGCAAAGCCAAGTTTAAAATACCTTTACAAGACAAATCAATGAGTCCTTTTCAAAGCAGTCAGATCAGTGTCATCTCATCACAGATTTTGAGAACTTCTCTGATGTGAATGGAGCAGAGATCCCACGAGCAAGTGAAGGGAATTAAATTCTCTTCAAAGAATTTCAGACATAGCTTTCGTAAAACATAGGGAAATGCTTTCTGAAGGAGGCTAGTACTAATTGCTTACATCAAAAAAGAAACCACTCTGGTATTGATACGAAGCCACTGGTAATCCTTTTGAAGAATTTTTGTGCTAATCCTCTTAGAGTCTCCATTGCTAAAAATTTCCCGAATAAGTTAGGGGTTAGGCTTCTCAGTTCCAAAATTAATCTTGACCAGTACCAATTACATTTATACCATTTTTTCCAATTTTTTTATTCTTTATCACTCATTTAAAATTGGTGTCACATTAGAAAGACTGACTCCACAGAGATGCTGCTGTTTCTACAGGACAGGAGACTTAAAAAAAAAAATTAAAGACCAACCCCTTCCTTTATTATAGGAGTTAGCAGAAGAGGAACTCCATCTCACTTGCAGTTGTCCATTGAAAAAGAGTTATCCCTAAGCTCAGTTTCTGTGAAGTCAAGTCAGAAAAGCTAGAGGAAACCAATCCCTTATGTTACTTACCTCATCAACTTTCAGCTGAATTTCCGTACGGCCATTATTCACAACTGTGTTAGACTTTACAATTTCATCATCATACTAGCTTCTCAGACTTTTTTTCCTCATACTCTTTAAGTTGAGGTTCTCCAAGCAATGGGATTTCTGAGATAGCAGATGATTCTTAACCTTGCAGTTCTCATCAGTATTGTCATCACCCACCACTAACCTGTACACTTTCTGCTAAGAGAAGTAGTGTATCATCTCCACCTTCAGCACAATACAGGTACCAGGATTATGAGATACCAGGTGCTGCAGTTGAAGAGCTCAACTGACAGTAGCATATTTCACAGATTCCTTGAGAAGCTTAGGCAGAATATGGTTATTTTCATTCTCATTGAAGTCATCCAAGAAGTGCTTATTCTAGGATTCTTGTTTCAGACTTTTACTGTATCTGACATCAGATTTAATAGGTTAATCCTATTTAGTCCTTCGGTTTACTTCACACAGACCTAGTATCTCTGCATTTAATTGCTTTGATGCTCTCTACTTCAATAATGTAGAGGAATCATGCCCCAAAAATGTCCTGGGTTTTGGGTTTTTTGTTTTTGTTTTTATAAACAGGAAGAAGACATCTCCTCCGTTAATGAACGGGGAAGATATGATTTTCAACAATGTTAACTACTTCCATTCATGGCAATATTTCCTTTTCTAGACTATCTTCTTTCTGAAAATCTCTGGGTTGCTTAAATACATAAATTTAAATGTAGTTTAGCCACTATGTCTGCATACGGTCTTCTGTTTGAAATTTTTTTTTTTTTTTGCAGTGATTACAATATGTATTACTATCAATTAAAGAGCCTTCTCCATCACGGTTTTATGCCACATTGTCTTCTGTTTTGATTTTCCTGTCACGTGTTTAGAGTAGGACATTTTTATGATTGGCTCATTTTTCACTTCTCAAGACGAGCAAGATAAATGAATGACATGATACTTGGATGGCCTATTTCAGAAAGAAAAGCTTACTTCATCCTAGCTTTCTTATGAATACTGTATTAGAATTTCGTATTAATTAGTGTTATTGGCTGGTTTTTTTTTAAATTCAAATGACATGGCGTGCGCGTGATTTAGCTGGAGGCATTTTTTTGGACAATCTTCAGCACTACTGGTAGTATCAAAAAAGTGAAGGTACAGTAATTGGAGTTTGAAGATAAGCATGAACATTTTTGGAGAATATTACATCATGTTTTTTGGCCAGCTAATCAAATTCTGTCTGTGCACTTGAATGGTGTTGGTGGCTGCTTGCAAGTAATTCAGGTCTGGACACCTGTAGGGTTTCTATTTGTTCCTTAGTACATGTTTTTACAGAGCATTATGTCTTATGGCAATGCCTGTTCAAAAAGTGTAACTTTGGGAAAGTGATGCTGCTTCTTCATCTGTGACTCTGAGACCCACTTGTGACACTTCCTGACCTCAGGGGACCAAGCATGCACCCTGTTGTCTAGCTACAAGTGAGAGGGCTTTTTGTTTATTACGTGTTACTATACAACACCCCTTCCACTCCAGGCTGTGTGCCTGTGTACACCCTGTTACCTTAGAAGGTGCTGGAAGTTGTGCTTAGAATCAGGATATTCGTTTAAAGGGAGCACTGCAGAGCAGATTCATGACACCTTTTGGTGAGCAATGCTCTTATCTATTTACTCTAAAATCTTACAAAACTTAAACCATTTTAAGGTAAAGTGCAAAAAAAATTGTGATATCTAAAGCAAACAATGCAGTGAAAAACATCTATAATAGATATAGGTGAAGAAATGATAAAAAATCCCACATCTATTTAATCTTGGCATAGCTAGTTGAAATCAGAAAGCTCTAACCCTTATCCAGCTAGCGCATTAATTTAAGAAAAGAGAATGGTGATTGATGTTCTTGGAGAGGTGATTTTTGTATATATTTTACTGTCTGTGCCTCTTCCCTATTATATCATTGTGTGTATGTGGCTGGGTTTTGATTAGTGAAGGAACTGAACTATGCCTTCAGTTGCTCCCTGTTCTTTGTGTTTCAGGTGGGTGACAGAAGGAAAGATAGGTCAGATAGTTACAGGAGCTGGGATGGCTGAGGAGCTACTGATCACTAAAGAATTCCACCTTGTGATGTTTGCCCCTGGGTTGCATGCGTGCAGACACTACATCTTGAGAAAAACTTTGAGCTGCGAATCTTCCTGTCTTTTCAATTTCGAGGATAACTTCTGTTATTTTCAATTCTAGAGGAGATTCTCAGTCATATTAATGAGGAGAGATTATAGAAATCTTAACTACATGTTTTTTAAAAGTTATTCAGAGTTGTGCTTTAATTTAAGCAGGTTCTTAAATGCTCTGTTGGGCTGGCGTGAGGGCTTCTATGTGGGTGATGAAATTCTTTGTATTCTGTAAGTGTAGTAGCAAAATGTTTAGTTTTAAGAGTATTAGTTATAAAAAGTATATAGAAAAGTGCAGAAATGTTGTAGGTACAGAACATCACATTTGCTGCTCTGTACTAGACTTCTTACCCTGTGGAAGTGTTAGGGAATGCATGTGCAAAAATCAATTAAGTCTAGTAATTTAACAAATTATAAAAGATCTGTGATATAAGAACTGTTCTGTGATTACAGATTCTTGCATCTGTATGCCAGCGCTAAATACCTCGCAACTTGAGGTTAAGAAAAAATTAACTCGTATCCTGAGGGCTGAACGGTGCTCTCATAGCATCAGTGTTCTCGGCTGTTTTGGAGTCCCCACTTGCAGAGGACAGCACTGCGCCCCGCTTACTGGGCTTGTTTGGCAGGACTCGTGGGCTTCCTGAGCTCATTTTACCAGATCGTCGGAAATCTGCCCTGCATCCAGCACTGCTAGAGCCATTTAGCTTGGGGAGAGCGCCAAGAGCCAGCCAGAGAGCTCTGAAGTCTGTCCCTCAGACTTAAAGGGGAAAGTTCATTGTAATTTCAACCAAAGCTATGAAGTTAATGTCCTGAAGTTAGTGTTTTAAAGCAGCTGGAAAAAACACCTGCATGGAGGTTTAATGTGTGTGCATTATCAGTGTCAGCTGATTTGTCGTAACTCTTGGTGAGCATACTAAGGCAAAGATAAATGCAGGCTTCGCTTGTTAGGTGACATTTGTTAAAGGAATTTCAAGATTCCTTAAAGATTGTCATGTAATTAGGATTTACCAGCTTGTTTTAGAGGTACTCTTAGTTCTTTAGGTAATTGATGAAAGAAATTACAGTGTTTCAGCAGAAAGCATATTGCAATTGCAGCAGTCCATTTATTTTTTCAGTCCATTTGCTGATGAATTTGCAGTTCTCATTTCAGTTTAGGTGAAGTAATAATAAACAGAGGATAGAGTTTATCTCCATCCAGAATGTTGTAAGGCAATAATAATAGCATGCATATTTGTTCTCATCAGCTTGGCTTCCATTTTCTTATTAATGGCAGTAAAATCTACAGTCTGCAATTAATCATTTGGAAGCAACAGTAGTGTAGCACCTTGTTTAGTTTAATTTCAGTTTATTGGATTTTAAATTCACATTGTTGTTGTTTTGGGTTTGTTTATACTTGCCATGGTCATGATCCTGATTTTTTCAATATAAGATTCAAGTATTAAATGTTTACTATATGTTCTGTCATTGCTTTTGAAGGCACTATGTCAAAAGGGAAACATAGCCACTTTGAACCTGTGTACAATTTCTGTGAACTTTTCTCCTACAAGAAGTATTTACAACAGTATTTTCAGATGCCAGCAACACTGTTGGAAAGAAAATAATGTGCATAAGTAATTTTCAAATCATCTGAAGTGATGATTGACTCTGCTGGGCTAGAGCTCCCCAGCATGCACTTTCTCAGAACCTGTTCTTTACGTGTGCTACATGGTATGGGTTTTGCATTTTATGATGCTGGGAGAATTGTAAGTAGTAAAAATACTGCATACTTTAGAGCAGCAGTTGTCTAACCTGTTCTGCTGATCTTAGTGCTGCTGAACTCAGTGTCTTGGCAGAGCAGAACTAGCTATGGCTTTGAGGAACAAGAAGTGGATAAGGTACATTGTAATTATTTGCTTAAAATCATACTCTTATCTTTGGTGCATGAAGTAGTTAGCTGGTATCATTAGGTCATGTTCAAGCAATATTATTTAGATCTTAGTCTAAGGTTTTTTTAAACTTTTTTTTTTTCATTTTTTTTGTCCCTCAGTTTGTAAGACTTGTATTGTTCAACACTTTGAAGACAGCAATGACTGTCCCAGGTGTGGCAACCAAGTGCATGAGACCAATCCACTAGAAATGTTAAGGTAAGATGACATTGCACAATGTTTGCTGAAATGGTACAACAAAAAATAAAAAATAAAATCTTAATATTTTTATCCTGAAAAAGAATTAATTTTTTTGCTTATTTGTAAAATATATATATCAACTGTTCTTGGCCATAGATTCTGTCAATTTTTTATCTCCCAATAAATTGTAAATTGAGTTTTTTCAGGTTTAATGAAAGGAGGAAAGATAAGGGAAAGACACAGAAAGGCTGGGTATATTGTACAAATTAAAATAAACATTTTAATACCGCTATTAAACAAATAAATTAACCAGATACCTTTTATTCTTCACATGAAATTAAAGTCTAGAGTTTCGTTTTTCCAAATGATTTAGGGCAAATTCCAAACTGCATGCAACTTTTTTTCTTCTTAGAGCAACATAGAAAATGAATCACGCAAATAACTGAATGTTTTCTAGAGCAAGGATTTACCAATCTGAATTGAAATCTGCTGTCAGATTGATGAAAAGACACGCATGAAAGAAAGTTTTGACACTGAAAGTGCCCTTTCTTGAGAGTTTGCATTTTTCATATCACAGTAACACATCTTTGTTTAAACAATTATTTTTCTTGAAATTCTAGATTCTCCTTTAGTGATGTTAAGTTGAAACAAAGGTGATAGCTGTCCTACAAGTACAGTACAGAGAGATCAAGAAATGTCATCATAAGTGGAAGAACTTCATGTTTTCCTAAAATGATGAAGCCACTCCCTGCCCTCACTCCCAACACTCCTTCCACCCCCAGTATTATTAGTTTGTAATACTGTTGTGAACTTAGGAAGAAATATTCTTACATCAATGTTAAAATAAATATTTACATCTGGAATTTACTAGGGTTGGTATTATTATTTCCTAATGTCATTGTGTTTGCTACGATTTCACATATTTTGCTTTGATTTTTGTCTGATGTGGCTGTGCAGAGCAATTCCCATGCCTCAGTTATATACCAAGAGGACAGGTCAGAGAGATTAAATTCAGCAATTCTAAAGAGTGTTATTAGCCTAAGTCTTTATCATCTGAATGTTTTTTGGAAGGGTAGGGCTAAAAGGGTTTATGTAGATGTTTACCATAAGTATTTTTCTCATCTCCTGTCAGTGTCTGAGGTGCTGTGTCAGCTGTAACAGAAGATGCTATACAGAGTGCCTAAGGCTACTAATAAGCTGAAAACAAAAGCATTTTAGAAATTTTTTTTTTTAATTCTGACAGGACCATTTCATAGGAGCTGAAAAATGCATTTTCTAAAACGTCTGGTAGATGTTTAGTAAAATAATAATATGCAGGAAATGATAGAAGGGTGAGAAGAGTTGAGACCACAAGCCAGAAATGTGGGAAGAGCTATTTTCTCTGCAATTATTTCCTGAAACTCCTTTTAGAGTTATTGGGTTTATTTGCCAACAAACTGCATATAGCTAGTAGTTTGCTGGTTGTATTTTATGAAACAGTTTTAAAAATTTGCTAAACTAATAATCAGAACAGCACATGAGCAGTGTAATGGAATTATCTTTTTTGGATGTTGCCTGCATAACTTAATACATGTCTTACACTCTGACTGTAGAGACCAGCCCAATCATTGCTCAAGAATGCAGTCATTTTCTGAGAAATGGCATTGAACACTCTAGATAGTATTTTTAACTGAGATCTTTGAGATAAACTTTATAAACTACTTTATAAACTCAATTCTGAGTAACTTCATAACTATGTGAGTTTTTTAGATGTGTCTTTTAGTTGGCAGCACTTAGGGTCTGTTGAAACTATAAGCCTAAGTCTGAAATTCAACACTGAGCTCTAAAATGAAAATCTAGGAAGTGTGTTAAATTCTAGAATTCCCTTTCCTGATTTAGCAGAATTGTGCATCATCAGTATTCAGTAGGGTCTGGGTTGGTTATACCATGAAGACAGGCTGCTTTTTTTCTTGGTAGTGTGCTGCTTTGGATGCAAGTTTTCCTGAGTGATGGTCTTCATTTGCTTCACTTCAGATAATTAGCAATTATCAGAGAGTAGCTTTGATCTTATAAGTCATTCAATATTATAGAAGAGGTGAAAAAAGAAACTATACGAAGCTAACATAAATGCTTGGTTCTTCTTTCTGTACGTTCTGGTTTGGGGGTTGGAAGATGGGGAGTGGAAAGAGGTGTGTCTGAAGTATTAATGTTCTTGTTTCAGCGTTAACAGGAAGTATCATATTAAATGACTGAGACCAACTTTGGAGATACGTCAAGTAGTTTCATTTTGGAATGGGTTTGATGTGAGTCACAGAAATACAAATCTTTGTTAGAGTGCTCATAGGCGTGGATAACAGGAAAGATTAGATGCATCTGAAATTGAGAATCTTTTTATAATTTCCTATTTTTCTCCCTAGAGTTTAAGTTTGGTTTCCCTGTACTTAAAGATCAGATAAGTGTTATTTTTTCTGCATTTCTTAAAGTATTGATTAGTATTTATGCTTCATAAGGACGAAATAGCTCTTTTTGTTTAGTTTTTGAAAGAAAATAAAGTCATTGACTAGAGTATGAAGCCAGTTCTTGCTGCTAGCATCATGAATTTGCTAAGTATACTGGGTTTTTTGCTATGTTAGCATTACCAGTGACTTTTGGTTTAGGCCATTGAAGACAAATTAGGAAGTGCTAAGTGGGAATTTTCAAAAATAAATGTAGAAAAAACAGCATGTATTATACCATCCTGAGGAATGGTTTGTGGGATTTTCAATTAAGGTAGTGATGTTCTCTTTTGAAGTCCTTATTTCTTTTCTCTTCATGGGTAAGTTATGAAGATTTGAGCTTTCTTACAACGTGAAATGAATTCCATTTCCAAGACAGGTTCCCAAGCTCCAAGTGCTCTGCTGTGGGAACTTCATAGAAAGCAGTACCATCTAGTTGCATTAGATATTGAGAGGAGAGGCTAGAAGAGATTTGGAAAGGTAGACCTATATTGTCATCTGTCAGAAGCTAAGTGCTCAGACATCCCATGATTTGGTTTCCTTCTTATCTGTGAGATAAGATGCTCCTTTGTTTTAGGGGAGGTCTGTTTCACTTGCTGAAGATTTTTTTTTTTTTGGTCCTTGTAAGAGGCAGCAGTTAAAAAATGGATTGTGGTTGTAGCTTAAACGTGAGTATTCTTATGGTATGACTGTCTCCATGAGCTGACAGGTAACACAGGGAACTAGTCTCAGAACAAGATGATTGGGTAATAGGTCTAATTGTAAACTTTCAATACAAATACAATTTCTGTAAAGAAGAGAACCTGGAATGCCCATGTATTTATTATAAGACAATAACTGTTATCTATTAAAATGGCTTTTAGGCACTCCTGAACAATAAAATCATTCAGTCTTCTTCCTACTTTGCCGCTGCTAGAGTACAAAAGATAGAGAACAGTCATATGTTTTGTAACAGGCCTATAGTGTATTATTAATAACATGTACACTACATGTATGTATTTATGCAAATATATATGTGTATATAAAGATATATATCATTATTGAGATGAAAAATTAAAGCAATTAAAAATATACTAAAGGCAATTATTGTGATTGTAGCTTGTGACTGAATCTCAAGGTACTTAATTTCTCTGGCCGTATTACTTAGTACTTTGTTTTGTCACGGGTTTTTGTTTAGGCTGTGGACCGTGGGAGTTACTGTTCACAAGAGAAGATGTAGAGGGCAGAGAAGAGAAAGGAAAAGGAAACAGAATGAGAGACAGAGGAAACCGAAGCATAAGTGAGGCAGGGGGAGGAGGTGGAACTAAAAAGCGGATGATAAATTAAATGGATAGGGGAGTAGGTAAAATTCAGAGGAAAGGGAAGAAAAATATTCTAGCTTCAGCAACAAAGGTAAATGCACTGTGTCCTCTGGAAGGGACTGTAATAGCTATTTGTGGCACTAATAGCAGGATATCAGAGGACATGCCTGTGCTGCGTACTGTCGTCTGGTAGACAAACTCATGGCAGATTAAATGAATTATGTTGGGTACTGAGAACTGTCTAGCCAGAGCAGCATGGATGCTCTGTGGTCTTCTTTATCCTGCCAAGACTGGTTTGTCTGTGTTGGAATGAGTAGGGAATAGTCTGTTCAGTTTTTCATAACAGTTTTATTACCAAAGCATTTGAACACTTAATATGATAATGGAGTTTGTGATTTTCATGCTTACTACTCATGACCTGGACCTTAAAATTGGATACTACTTTTCCAGTTTATTCCTTTTAGTAACCCAATCGTTTGCATGTAACACAAATTAAAACAATGACAATTTTAGAGTATAATGTTTTTTCTTTTTTGCTTCATTTTTGTCTTTATACAGTAAAAAATAAATTCCTTGGTTATTTCTAAAAGAAATCCATTCAAGAGGTGGTTGAGATAAGCTTTAATGCATGTTGTCTCTCAAGCTAAAATCGATTGGTTTTTGCAGGATGTATTATTTACCAGAAATATGCAATTCATTTTATTATTCAAAAGTTTTTGTTATTTAAAGGCTAAAAATATTTAAAATGCTAGTTTCTACTTAATGTGAAATGTATTTTTTCCCTTTGAAAGGCTGGATAACACCTTAGAGGAAATTATATTTAAGCTGGTGCCTGGACTTCGAGAACGTAAGTTTCTCATTCGGTTTTGGGTACCTGTTTGGGTTGATGGAGGGAATATGGCTATTTCTAATGATACACCTGTAGTATAGATTTAAAAATTCACATTACTGTTCTTTGATGTTAACTAGAGGAACTGCAGCGAGAGATCGAGTTTTGGAAGAAAAACAAACCTCAAGAAAATGGACAAGGTGATTTTTTTTTTTTTTTTCGTCTCTCATCTGTATGTTAAGTAACATTGTTCATTAAGCTTTGTTTCTTCAAACGCTGAGGCACATACATTGTTTTTACAGAATTTGAAGGTAGTCTAGAAACTCGTAACAAATCTATGTAAATGTAATCTGGGCCTTCATGTACTGCTACTTACCTATTAACCAGTTGTTTTACAATCACTAGCTGGTTTACCATTATTTTTATTTGCATTTCCCTAAGCTCTCACTTTCAACACTCATGCGATTTTCCACTTGAATTCTTAATTTTCTTGATACAGCAAGATGCAGAACTACTTGAGTTTTTTACAGATTATTTTCTGTTGCTGAATTTGACCAGCTGTTAAGTAGGAGGTTGTCAAGAATTAGTTATGACAAGTAGTAAAACATTTTTCCACACATGCTAAACAATTGTTTTATATAGATTCCAAAATGCTTTTTCTTTTTTTTTTCTTTCTTTTTTTTTTTTTTTTTTTTTTTTTTTGTAGTTGACCCATGAACTTTGAGCGCTCAGTATTGAGGTGCTAAGTGAGGACTACATCCCACTGTTTTTATGCCCCTTTAATTTGACTTCAGGGTTTTGATACCATAGCCTATTTGATTTGGGCATTTTTAAGAATTTTTGAAAGGCTCTGCCAAGTTAAAGAAATAGCTATTTTTAGTAAAGGATTACTATCAAGTAAACGTCTTGCAATACTCTTCTGCACTCAATTGTTTATTATATCTTCTTTTCAACTTCATAACATTTCACTTTCTTTCTCACTAGTTTTGTTGATTTGCATTTGGCATCCATTATAAAGGACAAGGTTCTTTTCTCTGTTATATAATTAAATGAAGAACTGCGGGCCAGTTTAGATGAAATTGTATTAGTCTACTACAACATACTTTGTAGTGTATACCTATTCAGTTTTTAAAATACTTAGAAAAATTTTTTAAGAAATATAGACATTTGTTGGCTGTTCAGAAAACGATTTTCTGCTATATACATAGGTAGAAAAAAATAACATGTAATTTGCAAATTTGTAGCATGTGACTTACTTTTAACCAATTTATTCTTCTGGTTCTTACCTTCCTCCCATAATTTAATGGTAAACCTAATGGAGATCGATTACGAAGTGTAATGAGTGATTGGATTGTTTTATGAATCAGCGTAAGGCTCTAACTCTCAAAATACGCTTTTAAGTAGCTACAGACGTATCCAGCTCTGTTAGTGACTGTGTCCTTGGCCTAAGGAAATTTGACTCTACAAACCATTTGAAAGTTGTGATAACTCATTGAGACAAATTATGAGCATTTAAACTATTTTCTGCCATAAACAAGCATTTAGAATCTTGTGTGAGAATAAATTATTTGGTGAGAATAATTTCAGTAAGAAAGGACTGTTTCAGTTGTCAATACCATCCCCTGCAATCACATAGTCTAGTTTAGAAGAGTCCATCAGTTATGTATTTACCACAAGTCACAACACAGTTCTCAACCTTAGCATCTAAGATCTGTAAAAAAATCCCAGGACTTGAAATTTTCAGATATCAGAAGACAAAAAAAAACCAAACAACAAAGCATTTCTCAGGCATTGGTGACTCCACTAGGGGAGTGGTTACTAGAGAGAATTGATGGATGATGATAGGAAACATACTGTGGTAAGGAGCAAAAATCTTGCTTGGTCCTTTCCAGTCTGAACTGGAGAAGGAAGAGGGCAAACAGCTTTACATTGACTCACTCTCTAGCGATCAGTTTTACACTGAATATCTGAGAAAAGCACAGGAAGTGGACAATTTCCAAGGTTTGCAAGAAAGATGAGGAAAAAAAAAGAGACATCAAATTACGCCTTAAGGAAAGAGGCATGGAGGTGGGTGAGAGTTGGTTTGTTTTTCCTGTCTTCTGTTCTTGACTTGATGCTTTTGGCATGGAGAATGCCGGGCCCATTTTCGTGAGATTAAGATTTCTTTTTTTCTTTTTCTTTTTCTTTTTTTTTTTTTTTAACTTGTATCATATTGAACTTTAATATCATGCCTCTAATGGACCATCACATTGATTTCTGGAGGCTGCCTGTACAAACATCATTAATTCTAATATCTACAAGGATTTTTTAGTAAATAGTCTGGTGCCATTTACACCGAGGAGCATTTGAATTTCTATCAGAATATCTTGAAAGATGCAACGTATTTTGTGTGTGTACCTGTTTCTGCAATGATTTTATGATTAGAAATTTGCTAATTTCCCTAGTTTTGTAGTTGGTTTGCCTTTCAAGACTTCTCAAACTGCATAATTAAATCTTCCTACGTTACTCAGCAGTGATGACTGTTGACAGTTGTGTATGTGCTTGCATTGCCGAAGAATCTGTGAATCATAGGCAAACTCCTCAGACAAATGCTTGTGAGAGGTAGACCATACCTGCTTGATTAAAAGAGTTTGCTTCCTGGACTTTCACAAAAAGAAAAAAAATAATCTGTAGTTTGATACTGTAAATTCTGTTCATAGCAAGATGATAGGAACAAAACATATGTATGATATGCATTCAACTAAACATGTCAATAGCTAGTAGGGACTTGTGGACAAATCTTTTCTAATTATAAAATACTTCAAAACAGTATGAAAGAAAAGTAATGAATGTAGCTTAAAACTCATCTTGAATATGTAAACTAAACGAAGTGAACTAATTACTGTGTCTAGAAACTTGGGCATGGCTTGATATTTGTTAAAGTTTTCATTCTATCTTCTCATCTTAACTCTTCTAAATGACTTTAAAAGTTTGTGGTAAGTGTAGCAAAACAGAATTTGATCTGAAAGTTTTTCAGAAGTGCAAAAGTAGCTTATCCAAGTTACTTGTGATAATGTTTTATTCCAACAGAGAGCAGCCTTTGTATTAAATCAAAATAAATAAGTTGGGGATACAGAAAAACCCAAATGTATATAATAGGGTTATGGTATACTGTATTCCAAATCTGTAAAAATTACTCCATTTTATGGTTCATTGTATGGTTATTATTTACATACATTGCGGCCTTATCTAGATATACTTGCTAGTCTTAGCATTCGAGTGTTCAACTATGCTAAACCTTTGAAAACTGTAGGAGATGGTACCTTTTCCAGAGAGTTAGATTTTTAAACCAGGAACCAATAAAACATGCATCAGTGAAGAAGGAGAACATGGTATATGTGATTATATAGGCTATATGTGCTCTGCCAAAAAATATGGGGACCATTCCTCTTTTCTTACTTTTTTTTTTTTGTAAAGGGGAATAAGTAAGTACATGACTATTTAGTTATAAAATCCTTCTGGAGAGAGACACCTGGAGTTTTTACAATGACGTTACTTAGACCAGGTCAAAAGCGGATGAAAGTTAAGTTTTATCTTGCCTTACTTGCCTTCATGATAACATTTCAGGAACTTGTCTCCACTGGGTTATTGCGGCATCAGTTAATTGATTACCTGTGTTACTTTGATATACAAGTGTTGCGATTAGTTATTCCACTCTTTATTTAAAAGCAATATTTTTTGGCAGCGAACTGCCACATCATAGAGTAGGTTTACGTGGTTGAGTGATCTTGATGCATGCACAGTAGCAGGGTTTTAATTGCTGGACACAAACAGAAGTAGACAGCCATAACCATTAGTGGTCCATCCGCCTAATTATTTTCTGTCACATAGAAATCTGTTGTTTGCATATTACATTAAAATTTCAATAGCAACACTTTGTTTTCAGAGATTTGTAAATCGATCAATTTAAGAATGTACTGATTTAAAATTGTATAAAGTTAATTTGAAGAAATTAATTGAATACTGTGTTCAGTTTTCGGCCCCTCACTACAGGAAGGACATTGAGATGCTGGAGTGTGTCCAGAGAAGGGCAACGAAGCTGGTGAAGGGTCTAGGGAAGAAGTCTTATGAGGAGCAGCTGAGGGAACTGGGGTTGTTTAGCCTGGAGAAGAGGAGGCTGAGGGGGGACCTCATCGTGCTCTACAGCTACCTGGAAGGAGGTTGTAGCGAGGTGGGGGTTGGTCTCTTCTGCCAAGTAACAAGCGATAGGACAAGAGGAAATGGCCTCAAGTTGCACCAAGGGAGGTTTAGATTGGACGTTAGGAAAAACTTCTTCACTGAAAGAGTGGTCAGGCCTTGGAACAGGCTGCCCAGGGAAGTGGTGGAGTCACCATCCCTGGAAGTGTTTAGAAGACGTGTAGATGAGGCGCTTAGGGACATGGTTTAGTGGGCATGGTGGTGTTGGGTTGATGGTTGGACTTGATGATCTTAGAGGTCTTTTCCATCCTTAACGATTCTATGATTCTATGAAAAAATATGCTCTTGAAAATGAAGTATTGCTTTAAATATGTGTGTGTTGCTACTGTGACTTTTAATTATTTTACACTTCAATAATATGATCTTCATATTTTACAGATGAAAGCCCAAAAGCTGATAAACCCAAAGTAGATGAGGAGTGTGATGAAAATGAAGAAGATAAAGACTATCACAGGAGTGACCCACAGATTGCTATTTGCCTCGACTGTTTACGCAACAATGGGCAGTCAGGAGATAATGTAGTCAAAGTGAGTAGTAAAGATAATCTGTGCTGTTGTTATTGTTGGCAGAATAGCATCTTACAGGAACCAAATAATTTTATAACCATTAACAATAAACTTTAACGTGGTGACTTGTCTCCACTTCCACGCTTATTTAGTCCTTTTGTTTGAAACATTTCAGTGCATCTTGGAATTTTGTAAAAAAATACAATTCAATACAGAAATTCATCTGTGACTGGATTTTTTTTTTTTTTAATGGATTATACAGCCATTGATGGTATATAACTGCATTACACAACCAATTACAGCATACCACAGAGGTACTTAAAATGCTAGCTGTAGGTGAGCTGCCTCACACTTTCAGGATTGCTGTCTTACTATGCCAGCGTGAAGCTGCTTTTCAGGTATGTTGTGCACTGAATGACTGGGACTCAGATCTTCTGAACTGTAAACCTGATCTGACACTGATGTGTCGTCTGTGGCCTTGGGCAGGTCACTTCCATCTGTAAAATGTGTAGAGTAATACCTGCTAACTGCTATTTTAAGAATTAGGGATATTTGGGTTCTGTTTATAAAGGGAAGATTACCTAATGGTATCGAGGCTAAAAGAAAGTGTTTAGAAATGCTCTTAGATTTTAATAATGTTTTATTAAATTGCAAAGACAAGAATTAAAAATATTAAAAATTTGTCTATTAAAACACTACTTATATTTCTTTGTACTATGTTATGTGTATAATTTTGGAAGTTCTTACACAGGAAGAAAGTTTTGATTCAGCAAGAAAACATATGTATGTGTTATCACTGTCTGTTTGTGCTATATACAGTAAGAAATCTGTATCTCCATCACCATGTAGGAGTCTCAGGTTTCCAGCTTTCCTGTTGAATCAAAACTATTAGGTTCTGGATCACAGAATCTGTGATAATAGATCACGTCTCAGGTTTGTAGCTTCCTGTATTTTAGCTAGATTATTTGAGGATGTTTTTACTTCCTTTTTCTCTCAAGGACTGAAGAAATTCTAAGAAATTCAACATCTGTTTGACCTCCAATGTTACTAACACACTTAGATTATTTAAGTTCTTCTGGGGCTTTTGGTGGTTTTGGTGGTTTGGTTTTTTTTTTCTTTCCTCCCTTCTGTATCTTTTGGAAATTTCTTTGGAACCAGAGATGGGTTAAATGAACTTGTTTGTCATCTTGTAAATTTTGGAAAAAAGTGAACAAAAATGAACCTATGGTGCCATTATGAATTAGAAGACAGTGCAGCAAAATTGGTTACTGGTTGAAAAAAGTATCAATTACAGCTGTTCTTGCACTAAAGATTGCTTATGTACTCCAAAATTTCTAACATGGTTTTTCTGTTTTGTTGCTGTTGCTTTAGGGTTTAATGAAGAAATTTATCCGCTGTTCTACTCGAGTGACCGTGGGAACTATCAAAAAGTTTCTCAGCTTAAAATTAAAACTTCCAAGTTCTTATGAGGTACATTTGAAAGCACAATGCTTGTATTTTTATTTGCCTGCAAGGTATTAGGTTTTTATGAAATTTAATCATATTTGAACTTGAGGAATTTTTTTTTTAGCTAAGTACTGTTCAATATTCAAGTTATATTTTCTGCCCTTAAATGAGACGTGATCATTTTATCGCAGTGACTAAAGTTGCTAATCAAGGAACTCATGCAGTTCTAGTAACTTCAGTCTGTTGCTTGCCTGTGAAGGAACAGATACATTAGGTTTTGATATTTTATGTAAAAAATAAATGCTTTCTCTTTCCATGTGGCTAATAAAAAAAGTCACTTAATACAGTTTTGGGCTAGTAGCTACTGGGGAAAAGGAGAGATCAACTACACCAAATTACTCTGCAGTTTCATTTTCTTTAGATGTAAGAAACTATCCAGTAATTATGAAGAAGTGAGGAGCAATACCATTTCAATCTTTCAAAATGCAGATACTTTTTTTGCACTGTCTCTGGAATTAGGTGGAATTTGATGGAGAGAGGGTCTTTGCTCCATGAGTGATTTGATCTTGGCCAAGACTGTTCCCTGGGGGGACTTGCTAACGTGATAGAAGTTGTGATGCAGGGTGGAGTTGGGAAGTGTGAGACTCCTGCCTTTGCTTTCCCTCTTCCCAGGGATACAGGAGTTTTGACCTCAGCACAGACTATTTCTTCAGCCAGTCCTCTTACAGGAGTCAATGCCTCCACGAACTGCAGGCTGCCTTTAGCACAAATGGCAGCATCCCAGCTTTGGTCAGAAGTAGGGCTGAGTTAGTTTAGGTGCACAGGTTACTGCAGAGCTATATGCAGGAGTTTGTCACAGTATCATGACAATTTACAAGCGGCTCCCCAGCCGTTTTGATGTCATTTGGTTTTGTTAATTATGTTAATTTAATCTGTCTCTGGCACCTTAATGGCTTATGTTACATAGTATCTGCTTACTTCAAAATTTTGACATTTTTTTCCTCTAAAAGGCAGAAAAGCATTATGGTTATAGTAATGAAAGAATTTTCAAACATTTTCAGTGGAGGGTAGAAGTAAGATGCTGTAGTTTAAACCAGTCATTTTTCACAGTAAGATCATTACTTCTTTTTTATTTGGCCTTCAGTTAATGAAGAATCATGTTTGTATACTCAGAAGTGCATTTTCCTTGTAATTGATAGTTATTTTTAAAGTAATTTTTTAAAATTATTTATCATTTATTTTAAAAAAA